GCGGGGGCTCGGAACTAGTAAAAAGAAGCTAGCACTTGACAAACGCATGATTTGATTGGCTAGGTACTTGGACTAAGATTTACACTAATATTCATTGGCTGAACAGATTTTAACAAAAGGAATTTAAAGTTGAAGTGAAAGTCTGATCCATTCTGGGGTTTCTGGCCTGAAGTACAGTAGACTGAAACTTTCCCCGCCAGTTCAGTGATCATCTTTAGGCGAGAGAACAATCTCCGTAAGCAAATACTGGGATTATGTCAGGTTTCAAACATCGGGACTGAAAGACAGGATAAAAAGTAAATTGCCAAAGTGAATGCTCTCTGATTTATTTTTTAATCTCCCTTTTATTACATGTAATTTTACTGCCTCAGACGGAAAAATTGTTTTGGTGAAGCTACGGGCCTGATTATAAGGCAATACAAAACAAAATCGGCTATGAAGTACAAGGAGAGATGTTAGCCAGGCAATGTTGCCTTCATTGCCCTCAACGTTTCACGGTCTCCCGTCCTCAGCCTAGGCCGGCTAAGATGTAACAGAGAAGTGTGTGATGTCACCCAGTCTCAGGATGGCTGGATATTGCCCAGTCTATTTTGACAGCTGCAGGGGAGAGTTTGTCAAGTAATTATAACGCAGGGTGGTTTACGAACTGCAAGCAAAGTCTTAATTCCGATTGCAAGGTAGCTATTTATTGGCAAGCAATTCTTCAATGTATTCAATGAGGAGATGAGTTTGAACGCGATTGTAAAGGACTTACCGGAACGAAGCAGAACTAAAAGAACTGAAAGAGATTACAGTGTAGAGCAGTTCTTAACTGAGTGCCTTAAAACCAAAGTAATCGCTCAAGCCAATCACATAGGACAGACAAAATAGTGAGCCAATCAAAACTCGAAGTAATTACAGGTAGCTGACGCTAAGCGCGGGAAAACGTGTGCGAACGGTTTTACTTCTGATTGGATGAAAAACTGGCGCGAGTTTTTAAGCCAATCGCGAAGCGAGTAAGTGCAACACTCAAATGAAAAGCGCTCTAAAAGACTTTGGAATTGGAATACAAAAAGCTAACACTCCCCAGCTAGCCATAAAATCTGAACCGTTCAGTATTTACCGGTAACACTTTCCCGAAGAATAATAGAAAGCGTTAACTCTAAGGCAATTCACCCCTCACCCATATAAAGTCGCACTCAACGCAATAGCCACACTTCTTGAGCTTAGCCTGGTTTCAGTAGCATAGAGCAACCTGGAGTAGTGCACCCCATCCCCCGCCCCCCTCCGGGGTGGTTGATATAGTCCAACGGGGTAGGGTGGAGTGATAATTGGTCTCTTCGTCTCTTCTAAAAGGCAACACTTCACTGGATTTATATCTTTCAGCTATGATTCTCCAGATATGGCACTGTAACTGGTCAAGGTTACAAGCTCTCCTCCTACACCAAAAAATGAATTTCAGGTTTCTTGAATTAAAAGAGATTTCTTAAGAGATTTCTTAAAACATTTAATCGCTTTAAATGGTGTAATTTGCATGATGATCTAACATATATTTTTCCTTGATAATGGAGTCATGACTACTCCGAAACGTCGAATTTTATCGTTCGTTTTTACCGTTTTAGGTTTTTTGAAATGACTGGAAGTGTGTCTAATAAGTGTCTGAAAATATAAAGACAGGAATACCCCGTGGCTTTTTTCTTCTATACTGCTCTATTCTAGTAACAGAACAGAGCCGGAGAGAAAGGGAGACAAGGGAGCAAGATACAGGGATTATTGACCAAGTGTAAGGTCAAGATGGCTGGATATTGATCAAGTTCTTTTTTTCTGTGTTTATGGACCGAGGCGGAGTCGTGGTCCATAAACACGCAAAAACAGATCGAGGCCAATATCCAGCCATCTTGACTGAACATGCTTGGTCAATAAAAAATTTATTAAATGGAAAAAGAACACTTTTTCCCCGCGGAACACCGGGTAATCCTGAGCGGGTAATTCCCAGCGGGCAAGATAGTGTTATCTTGCCTTCGGTTCATCTTTCCCGATCACGGACCTCCTTCCAGTCCTGATTTACAAGTCATAATATCACTCTAGGGAATACCAAAAAAAGTCACCTTATCAGAAAATTTAAGAAAAAACTCTAACCTAATATATTTAAGACTCGGTTCAAGTTCATTTTTTAGTTGTGTAATTTACATTTTCTAGACTTTTTAAGGCTTTAAAGTTGACCTTATTTTTTCATAAAAATGCACTTAGATCTAATCTGTATAGATCCTTCTGTTGACGTGATAATATCACACTTGTACAATGTCGTCATTTGACTACAACTACCAGGTTTCATTTTGTTTCTCCTTTATTACTGAAATCTCAGTGGGGTTTAACTATCTAGTTTGTACTAGAAAAAAAAGTGAAAGATTCTAGTACTTGTAGTCAAATGACACCATTGATATGCAAATCATTTATTATGACACTACTCGTTACTGGTAAACACGACTCATAATCAAGGAAAAAACAAATACACAGTCGGTGGTGCATGGATGTGGTGTTTGGACGAACATAGAAAATACATCTTAAAATTAATAATATCCTCCAAAGTCAGAAGTCCCCAGAATTTAAATAATGTAATTACACTCAACATCAGAAATTATTTTAATAAGATGACGCTTACTTGAACAGATTCAGAGTCATAAGATAGGCATGAGAATAATTAGCAAATACCTGAAAACTCTTCCCAATGCCGTAACTTTTTATCCTCTGTATCTCCCATCCCCCACAGTATTGTTCCTTACCCCCTGCTCTGGTCACCCCAAAGATTTGTCATGGCAATGAAAAACAAAACTCACACATTTTATACATTTTATTAAGAGCGATTGCTCAGTAAATCTTCTCTCATATAATTATAAATACAATCTTGTTTCATAGCTTCTATTTTTACATTGAATTGTCCGATCAGTCACCAAGATACAATTATTTCTATTTCTACGCTCTTTAATATTTTCCGTAAATCAAGCCACTTTGCCGATAGGCGCTTGTCTGAATAAATAACATCGTGGTACACCTGACATCTGGAGTTTTGCAAGAAATGGTTTCGCCGGTTGGAAATAATTTGGACAAAAATGACCGTTCTTAAAACAATTTTCCTTAGATATTTTTAAATATACGATTTAAGTATTATAAATAGAAACTGTAAAGCCGACGACTCGATACAATTTTTGTATTCGGATATTTAACACACAAACATGGCTGCGAGAAAAATTTGTATAATAATATTTTGATCACGATTTTTTCCTGTCTTGCAAATTGAGACTCTCTGCCACAATAGCAAGTTAGTATTCATATTAAAATTAAGTTACCTCCACGGCCAGCCGTGCTGGTCGTTAGTCAAGTTAGCATCACTATTTGTATCGAGCATGAATTCTAAATGCTCGCTTGTCGTTCACTGTTACTTCTCACAACCCAAGCTTGGGTTTGTTTATCTAAAGTATTAAAATAACCATTGGCTCCTCCACGGCCTTGGTTGCTATGATTGTTTTTTTCAACTGGTTTATGTTCGGGTAGTCTGAATTCCATTCCTTCGCCGTGGTCAGAACTAAATTCAAAAGGAGCGATGCGATGTTTTCGCCCTAGAGAAGTGAGCCTGTATGCTTGCGACGAATCGGGCTTACAGAAAACTCTTTTGCATCCTTGGCGAAAATCCCCACTGAAAAGGGCATAGATGGCCACGTTTAATGTTGCATTCGAGAACGAAAGCAGTAACAGACTTACATTTAAGCTGTGTGATAGTGAAATTTTCTCCAACGAATGTAGAACGAGGCTAAGGAAGTACGGAAAACAACAAGTTAAAAACACAAGCCATTGAAGAAACAGCATTCGCAATACTTTTATTTTCGAGCGAGGTACGCGGAACGCGTGCCTTCTGAAACTGTTCGGATAATTCTTTGCGTGCATATTTCGAGTGATCACGGCGTATGTTACTCGTAAGTACATCACAACGGTGAAGAGAAGAGGAACACTAAAAGCAATTAAGAAGAACAGCATAACAAAGACTTTCCATTCCACTGTCTTGAAGTCGGGAAGGCAGAAGCCGTCTTCCGTCGATTGAAAGAAGTACAAAGCTGGCGCCGACGAACAAACCATGAAGATCCACACAAAAATGATGAGTTCTTTGGTTTGGGAACGGCTCATTTTAAACTTCAACGGATGCACGATGATGTAAAATCGATCCAGGGAAATACAAGCGAGGAGACCGGCAGATGCTCCTGCGTTTAGGAAGTGGAAAAAGAACGTAAATTTACATGTTACATTATCGAATAACCACGACCCGCTCATGATCCAGATCATGGTCCAAAGAACGCACATGAAGGGAATCGTAAGATTCGTCAAACCCAAACTCAAAACAAAGTAGTTTGTGGTCCATTCGCTACGGCGACTTCGATGAATAACCAGCAAAATTAGTCCGTTGCCGAGAAGGGACCCCACAAAAATCGTTGATAGCATGAACATTTCTGCAACAACAGCGCCCGATGTTGAACAGCCGGGTTTTGAAACGACACTTCGATCTGAACAGTTTAATATGTCCGAGTCGGCCATATTTTTCAGAGCGGTTGTTGTGAGTCATGTAAACAAACCGGGGATGAAACTCAAAAGCTACGCGTTCCATTTGCCAAGTGAAACATCAGATTGACCCGCTCCGTTGTTCACCGAAGAAATACCCATTCTCTGAATGGAAACTATTTATACATAAGTCTTAGCCTTTTTTTCCCTAGGGTACAATAAGCGTAATACCATGAGAAGCCGCCTTCACTCAACCAAGCTTGTCGCAATGGTCCACTTTGTCGTCAAATGCAAATGACATAGGCTGTGCAATCAGATATTCCCATGTTGTTTTTGTCGTCCTGTCGCTCGGATACCGACCATCTGTCACTCAGGTTTGACTTAATTAAAGCCAACGAGGTTCTACACGTAATTTTCTTTTTTTTCCGATGGCAGATCTCTTGTTATATCTTATTCATAAAATCGAAAAACCACAAAAGGTGACAAAACGCTAAACACACTTTTTCGTGAGAAAGAACACTTGCGAGTTTCCGTTTAGTTCAATATCACGATGACACAAAATATCGTAGTTCGTGACAGGTGGATGTAGAAAAAAGTGATCTGTTATCGTCAAACTCGCGTTCAGCAAATTTTCGGGACTGGACAGTTGCTGATAATAAAAAAATATTAAACAGTAACTACACGCGTGCTTTGAACAGAAAAAGCTTAAGATAGACACCTTGTGTACATTTTGCGACAAATTTGATTTCACATGATCAGCTGCGATATCGGCGGGATGAACAAAAATATATACATGAAACAATAATTATTCACGGATTCATTAGTTAAATGATCGCAAAAACACATCAATCAAGCGATTTTTCCTGCAGTATGTGAATATTGCAAGAGGCGGAAAATGTTAGTTATGCTGCGAGATTCCATTTCCAATCAAAGGACTTGTTTTACTATTTTTTTTCTGTTTTTAGCTCAGCAATTTGCTTCAATTGCAGCCACACAAAGCGTTTTATGACGATCTAATTTTTTCAAGTACCTTTGAGGCGTCCATATTATTAAACGACCGCTAGTGTTAGGCGAATAAGCTGGGAAAAGTTGAAACAGCTAGTTTTTTACTCTTTCTGGACAGAAACGACGAAGACCTCTCTCTCCATTCATAACACTAAATCGTCCAACCGGTGCTTTTGTTTTGTATCACACGTCCTATCAGTATAATGAGAAAGAAACGTTGTCAAACTTTTTTAAAAGTGTTATGAGGACAGTACGCATTGAAAGGGAAAACCGCGCGCGTTTTTAGCACTCCGTTTAAAGTCAACCTCGCTCGAAACTGGAACCGTTAGCACGACTTTTCAGATATTTACAGCTCATCGAAAAAACCTTGAAAGTTTTGGTGACGCCGCTGAATTTTGAGGTCGCATACACGATGAGAACGCAAGTACTGCTGAGGGACGTTGGAGCGTGTCAGTGTAAACCGAAAATTAGCATTATCCTCTCATATCCTGGTCATTTTTTTGCAGTAAAAGGGTGGACAATCATAGACAATAATTGAACTCTATGCTTTATTTTGCTACACTGTTTTTATTATTCTGCGTATACAATAAATAATATGATATATCACGCACATATTCTCACTTCATAAGATAATAAAAATATAACTCTATAGCCCTTGAAAAGCCAATTGTCATTTTTTAATATTTATTTTAAGTACGACAAAGTTGTAGGCATTCTCCAAAACTGAGGAAGTATAATTAACAAATGTACCAGCTTCACTAAGTATATAGTTTACTTCTCACGTTAATTCGCCAACAGAATAAAATAATAGCGATACTGTAAAAGGGTACATTACTTGCAATAAAAACGGAAAATTCGAAGTTTTCCTGTTTTGTTTTGTTTTTTCCAAAATTTGGAAGGATTTTGAGACAAAATTAGCATTGAAAATGTAAGCCCTGAGTTTTCAAACGTGTTTTTACTCCATTTTTATCCCCAGCGTCATTAACCATGTTTGCTTCTAATAGTTTCCTGTTTTTTGTTAAGCGCTATTCAACAAAATCCAACCATCACCCTTGAGTGTCTAATGATTTTAGTATTGAGCTTCAAGGAATCATCAAGACTAAAAATAGCGCCGATGACTCTTTCTCTTATCCTAAGCTTATATAACCTTTCCCGCGCAAAGATGACCTATCTTCCTACAAAGAGTTCACCCTGCTAAATTTTAAGAAAGTAGTTGATGTAAGCACAATACTCAAATGAAAGCATAGCAATTGCACTTTCACGACAGAGCAGTTTCCTTATGACTTGTAAAACCTAAAACACAGCGGTAAACCAAAATCACCCGCACCAGTTTGACTTTCGACACGTGAAGCTGCGGGTGACGAGTTTGGTGTTACTAATGCAATTAGCAATCTAATGCAAAACTAATATAGTTATGACAGAATTTGCAGTTAATCGGTTGACAAAACGACCAACATGTATCATAGTGACGCCATAAAAACGTAAGATTTTTTAGAGGACTTTGATGACTACTACAAAAGGATATCTGAATATCATAGGACTAAAAACACGCAACTTTCCGATAATGCAAATATTTTGCGAACTGACTGACACGAGCTATTCTTCAGAACGGATATTTTTTTTTAACTTAAATTAATTTGCGCATGTATGTGTAACGGCCATCTTTATCTGAAATAGGAGACTAAAAGATGTTAAAAGCTACTCAGTGAGAAAAGTCAAACATATCTTTTTACGTTCAGTAAGTTCGCAGCGAACTCGTCTTGGGTGAAACCACTTTTGTGATAATATTTATCTTCGGCAAGAGAAGATCAAGGTATTATAAAGTACCTTGACCCTCTCTTGTCTTCGACATTCGTCGAGATATAGTCGGCTTCGATTTGCTTCCTGTACCATTCGGTGTCTATGTCTACCGTTGTCGGACAATCTTCGGGACACTCTCGGAAAAACAAAGCATGTACTCCCAGCCAAAACCCAAGACTCAAACATCGTTGACAAGTAGTCGCTGACAATCTTCGGCACCTCTCGGGATTGCCACTAGTGTTACGCAAGAAGTCCAGATTCCATTTCGTTGATTAACTTGGCGCAATTGATTCCTCGACAAGTGGCTCGACTCGGGCGAACCATGAGGCCATGTTGAGGTTTGCTGAAAATCGTGTAAATGGTATTTGTAGTGTTAGGTGCTATGACTTCCAACTTTGTCTCGCACTTATTATTATTTGTACGATTAGAAAAAGGATTTCTTATCCTGAAAGCTTCAACAGTTTAAAGTACAGAAAAAGTTAGGAATGGCAAAATAAGATGTGAACAGATGTTAAAAACAAGCTGTGGGGTTTTCAGAGACGAGAGAAGCCCAACAATACCAGGAAAAATAACTAGGAAATTAAAGGAATACCCACCAACTGAAGTATTTCTTGCCATTTACTGAGCCGTCGTTCTTTCCAACTGTAAAAAACAAAAGCACAACTGAAAACAAAGCAATCCGATAGAAGGCGAAAGGCCACTGGGTTTAGCTGGAGCGTATTGAACAAGATGACGCATTCTACCGGTTTCACAGAACACCCGGTCATATAAGAGTAATTTTAAATTGTATCAAGTAAAAAAATAATAACAATAAGACAACTTCCAATCGTAGGCTTAAACCTGTAGCAATCTCGGCTAAGTCTATAGAAACGTTCTGAGGAAGCCTCGTTTTCGGGGTCTCTCTTCCTCCCGAACGAGGTTGGATCTGGGTTTGTAGATTACGTTGCGTCGTAGAGGAAACCACATTTTCACGTTTTCATCCCGCGGGTGGAACAGTTTCTACCTCAATCATAAGGTTATGTACCCTGTAAGACGTCTCTGTCGATATATCTAAATAGGCACAAAAACTAGAAACTAGCCAATAAATACGAAATATAGTGAGCTATAAAGCTTTGTACCTGGCTTCCTCATTTCTACGCCCAACCAGGTTCCTTCTGCGAACTCCGCTGGACCAATGTATCGAACAACTCCAAGCTCACCATTTACAAGCACACTGAGGCCCTACAACAAAAAACAGTTCTCATCGCTAAATTGTAGTTCGGTTGTCCTTGCAATATTTGTAGACATATGATGCAAAATAAGTTGCAAATCAATTCAGGCTTAGCAAGGGACTACACAGAAAGGCTTTTTGAAAGCTTTATTGCACATAGAGAACGTTCGTGACACACAAGGGCACAAAAACTGAATGCAATACACAATGTTTTTTCTTACTAACCGCGGTAAGCTGGAATTCCGCTGAAGCTTTGCCTTTTGGTAGAGGTGCACTGCCTCGCCGTAGCGTCTGCAAATTTCTGTGACAAGAAATAGCTTGTTTGGTGACGTCAAGGAGAAAATGTGTACATTAACATAAAACAACGCCACTTTATTATACAATTATTAACTGACTATTTTCGCCTTCGTTTAGTCAAATTTCAGTTTTTGCTTCAGTCCGAGTTTTCGTTTCAAAACATAATTTTCTTAACATGTTGTTAAGAAATATTTTATCGCAGTTTTTTT